CACAGTGTTGCGCAGCGCCCGCTTTCATGGACAAAAGCCGATTTATAAAATGTAAAATACAAAGTTTTACTTTTTGCAGATCGAAAGTATGATGTCTGAAATATAAGAAAACGCTTAAAAATAATACGAATATCTGTTCGTATAGTTTTAACAGATCGAGAAATATGAGCGAATGAAACGAACTGTTGTGCAGTACAATCATACCTATATTAGAGGCTCATGTTCTTCACAGTAAATTTGTACTAGAGAGTTATATTCATAGTTTAAGAATATTCATACAATGATCTTCTAATAAGCTAATATTGGTTCTCATATATCTCGATACTTTTCATGTACGTACTATAATCAAGATTATTGACAAATCTCATAAAAAGGAACAGAAATGTTGAATTATGTTACGTACATTACGTTACACTGTGTTAATTTTAGTATATATCGTAAGTTCAAAGCATTACTTACATGAAATAAAATAAACATCTTGCGCAAATGTGCGCTTAAGCGATTTAGAAAAACTATATAGCGAGAATGCAAGTACTGGGCGTGCCTGCTAGCGGTTCAACATTCGCGCGCGTTCGTGCGCTAGTAGTGGAGCATATTATGATAAATCTCATCAAAATAAAACAAAGATGTAGCGTCTCGCCTGTCGCATGTCATAGTTAGTGTACGGATTTTAAGGTTATGGCTCTAACGAAACGTTATATTTTTACTAGATTATATGATGAGCAATGGTCAGAAGATACAAAAAACCAAGTTGAATATGTAATTAACATTTTAAACAGGTAATTCTATAAAGCAGATTTGTCTTTGACTTTGCTAATGATAGTTTTTTAACTCTTGTTTATAACTTTTGATAGCAAACTTGATTGTTCACTTGATAAAAGAACAAAATTGAAATATCGAAATCGAATTAGTGCTTTCATTTCAAATTTAAAAAATAAGTGGAATAAGTGTCAACGTAAGCTTGATCGGTTTTTGAATCAAAATCAACTCTGGCTTGACTCAGAGTTTAATGTTTTCGATGTTCCGACCGATGATGTAGATGTTTCCAAAACCCCTTCACTCCATGTCAAAGGTACATATCATGTCCTGTCTACATTATCCTTTCTAAAATTTCCTATTTGATAAAATTCTCTACATATCCTACTTTAAATAGGTCGTCCAGAAAAAGATTTTGATACTCTTTGCAATCGTTCGAAGAAAAGAAGAACTGAAGAGTTAAGAACAAATACGTCCTTGGCAGAACTTACATTTGCTGCTAGTACACTACTCCGTGAAAATGGTAATCATGTCGCAGCCAGTATTATAGAAGAAATAATAAAAAATCCATCGAAAGCTAATGAAATCCAGCAAGCGTGGAATCCTCAGTCGTCTAAATCGAGACAGGTAGTAAGATATACCCCTGATGAAGCTCTGTGTCTCAAACTTGATGGGAAATTGTCCGTAGCTCAATATCAGAATATACGTAAAGGTGCACTAGAGCGAAATATAGACCTCTATCCTAGTTACAGAGATATTCTTGAAGCGCAAAATAGATGTTACCCGCCGCAACAGTCAATATGTATCACAGATACAGGTGCAGAAATAAAGTTACAGCAGCTATTACATCATACAACTGAAAGACTTCTAACCAGTCAAAAGTCAGTTTTAC